ACACCTGTGTACTACACCTGTGTACAAGTACCACACCTGTGTACTACACCTGTGTACAAGTACTACACCCGTGTACTACACTTGTGTACAAGTATCACACCTGTGTACAAGTACCACACCCGTGTACAGGTACCACACCCGTGTACAGGTACCATACCTGTGTACAAGTACCACACCTTTGTACTACACCTGTGTACCACACCCGTGTACAAGCACCACACCCGTGTACAAGCACCACACCCGTGTACAAGCACCACACCCGTGTACAGGTACTGCACCTCTGCTGGGAGGAGTAGTAGTAGTAGCAGCAGTAGCAGTATCAGTAGTAACAGAAGTATCAGTAGTAGTAGTTGTAGTAGTTGTAATAGTTGTAGTAGTAGTATTAGTAGTAGTCGTAATAGTAGTAGTATCAGTATCAGTATCAGTAGTACTAATCCCTCTCTGTGTCTGTGGTTTTCAGGCAGGTCCTGCGGGAGCACGGTTGTTTGCCGACGCTGCTGCAGCATCTGAAGTCTCACAGTCTGACCATCGTGTCCAACGCCTGCGGAACGCTCTGGAACCTTTCGGCGCGCGACGCCACCGATCAGGAGACGCTGTGGGAGCTGGGCGCCGTGGGCATGCTCCGTAACCTCATCCACTCTCGCCACAAGATGATCGCCATGGGCAGCGCGGCCGCCCTGAGGAACCTCATGGCCAACCGCCCGGCGCGCTACAAGGACGCCAGCGTGGTGTCTCCGGGCGGCGGCGCCCCGTCTCTGCACGCGCGTAAACAGAAGGCGTTGTTCGAGGAGCTGGACGCGCAGCAGCTCTCCGAAACATTCGACAACATCGACAACCTGAGCCCCAAGACGGCGCACCGCAAAGCCCGAGGGGGAGCCAACTCCGCCGGCAACGCCCGCTCCTATGCCAACACCCCCGTCCTGTCCAGCCCCAAACGCGCCTTCCCCCCAAACGTGCGCGCCTCCAGCGACAGCCTCAACAGCGTCACCAGCGCCGACGGGTACGGCACCCGCGGCAAAACCAAACCCTCCTCCTCCACAGAGAACTTTTACTCCGAGGAGAACGCCGTCACCAACAAGTGCTGCGTCTACATGAAGTACCCCGCCGACCTGGCGCACAAGATCCGCAGCGCCAACCACATGGCGGACGACGACGGGGCGGAGCTGGACACGCCCATAAACTACAGTCTGAAATATTCTGACGAGCAGCTGAACTCGGGGCGCCAGAGCCCCAGTCTCCACGGCAACGCGGAGGAGCCGGAGGAGGAGCGCACCAAAGCGCCGCGCGGGTACAGCGGCGCGGCGGCGTACGACGCGCCCACAGAACAGCCCATCGACTACAGCCTGAAGTACAGCGAGACGCAAGCGCCGCGCAAAGACGACTTCAGCCTCAAATACGGCGCCGAGACGCAGCGCAAAGACGAATACGGTTTAAAGTATAACGGCACAAAAGAATCGAACGCCTCCGCGCCTAAGCTCCGCCCCCTGCAGCAGCCGACGGCCAATCGTGCGGCTCCGAAGAGTCACCAGGAGTCGACTCAGACGTACTGCGTGGAGGACACGCCCATCTGCTTTTCTCGCGGTTCATCTCTGTCCTCGCTGTCCTCCGAGGACGACGAGAGTCACGAGGTGCTCCCACGTAAACGGCGAGGCGGCAGCGTCGTGGACGGCGGCGAGCGCGACTCCAGTAACTACCCCACGCTGCCCGTGAGCGAGAAGCCGAGCGCCACTGACGAGACGCAGCGTAAAGAGGCCGAGAGCCAAACCGCCGCCGAATCCGCAGCGTCCAACTCGAGATCCAAACGACATCATCACCACGAGACGCGGCACCATCACCACGAGACGCGGCATCATCATCACGCCGCGTCCGGCGCCAGGACGCCCAAAAGCCCCCCCGAGCCCGCCCCCCTGTACGCCCAGGAGACGCCCCTCATGTTCAGTCGCTGCACCTCCGTCAGCTCCCTGGACTCCTTCTCCACCTCCTCCATCGCCTCGTCCGTGCGCTCCTCGGAGCCGTGCAGCGGCGTTCCCAGCGGCGTCATCAGCCCCAGCGACCTGCCCGACAGCCCGGGCCAGACGATGCCCCCGAGCCGCGCCAAGACGCCGCCGCCGCCGAAGGCCGCGAAAGAGGAGGAGCTAACGCAGAAGCTTCAGCGTCAGGACGAGCAAGAACCCAGCTCAGACCTGCTCCTTCACTTCGCCACCGAGAGCACGCCGCACGGCTTCTCCAAAGCCTCCAGTCTGAGCGCGCTCAGTGTGGACGAGCCCTACATCGGCGACCTGAAGCTGGGCGCGCCGCGGGGGGCGGAGCCAGAGAAACCGGAGCCGCTGCTCGCCGGAGAGTCCGACGACGACATCGAGATCTTAGAGGCCTGCATCAACATGGCCATGCCCAAGTCCTCCCGCAAGCCCAAGAAACCGCCCCCGCAAGCCCCGCCCCCTGTCTCGGCGCAGCCAATCAGGAAGCCCAGCCAGCTGCCCGTCTACAAGCTCCTCCCCCCTCAGAGCCGCCTCCAATCGCAGCCCAGGAAAGACAAACAGGAAGAGGAGGCTCCGAGCGACGACGTGCCCAGAGTTTACTGCGTCGAAGGAACGCCGCTCAACTTCTCCACCGCTACGTCGCTCAGCGACCTCACCATCGAGTCCCCGCCCCCCGAGGAGGCCGCACCCCCGCACCGCCGCAGGGCGGGGCTTCCCGAGGGCGAAAACGGAGACGACATTTTGGCCGAATGCATCAGCGCCGCCATGCCCAAGTCCAAGCTCCGCAAACCCGCTCCGGCTCGGCCCACGGGAGAGCAGAGCCTCCAGGCCCCGCCCCCTCTGCCCCCTCAGGCCACGCCCCCTCTGGCCGCGCAGCAGCAGAAGAAGAAACCCACGTCTCCGGTGAAGCCGCAGCAGCGCCCTCCGGCGGCGGCGCTGAAACAAACCAACAAACCGGGCTTTTCCTTTGACTCGCCGCGTCACTACACGCCCATCGAGGGCACGCCCTGCTGCTTCTCTCGCAACGACTCGCTCAGCTCGCTCGACTTCGACGAAGACGAGGAGAAGCCCAAAGACGCGCCCAAAGCCCCGCCTAAGCCGCAGGCCCCGCCCCCCGCCGCCTTCGCCCCACCCCCCGCGGCCAAAACCAACACGGCCGACGAGAAGCTGCAGTTCTCCATCGAAGACACGCCCGTGTGCTTCAGCCGAAACTCCTCCCTCTCTTCGCTCAGCGACATAGACCACGAGAACAACAACAAAGCTCCGCCCGCCGCCGCGGAGGCTCCTCCCCCGGACAAGCCCCGCCCCCCGCCGCACTGCTACGTCCCCAAAGCCTTCCACGTGGAGGACACGCCCGTCTGCTTCTCCCGAAACTCCTCCCTCTCCTCTCTCTCCATCGACTCCGAGGACGACCTGCTGCAGGAGTGCATCAGCTCCGCCATGCCCAAGAAGAAGAAGAAAGCCCCGCCCCCGAGCGCCCAGAACGCCACCAACGTCCTCAACGCCCCGCCCGCCGCCTCCAACACTCCACCCAGCACGACCAACGCCCCGCCGTCTGGCCAGAACGCCCCTCTGCCCCCCGAAGACACGCCCGCCGCCCACGCCGCCCCCGCCCCCTCCGAGCACGCCTCCGGCCCCGCCCCCTCCGCGCCGTGCGACGAGGGCATCCTGTCAGAGCTGGAGCCCTGCGGCGCCCCCCGCAGCCCCGTGTCCCCGGACTCCGAGTCATTCGACTGGAAGGCGATTCAGGAGGGCGCCAACTCCATCGTGAGCTCGCTGAACGCCGCCGCCGCCGCCTCGGCGCTCTCCCGCCAGGCCTCGTCCGACTCCGATTCCGTGCTGTCGCTCAAGTCCGTGGGCTCCCCCTTCAGACTGCCCCCCAAACCCAAAGCCCCGGACGCCGCGGACGCCCGCGACGCCGCCGACGCCCCGGAGGCCGAGGAGGAGAAGCGAGGAGCTCGTATCCTGAAGGGCGGCGAGCGCAGCACCCTGGAACAGCGCCACCTTCAGGACGACGACCGCGGCGTCAGAGGAGGAAAGAAAGTTTACCGCAGTTTAATTACGGGGAAACCGCGCTCGGAGCTCAGCGCCCGCGGACGCACCAAACCCAGAGCCGCCGTCGGCCCCAAACCGGGAGGTAACGCCGACGACAGGACGGGCAGCTCGTCCCGAGACTCCACCCCCTCCAGGTCCCAAAGGCCCAAACCCAAACGCTCCCGGCCCCGCCCCCGCCCCCAAAACCCGCCCCTCCCGCCGCCGGCCCCGCCCCCAAACCCGCCGTCAAACCCAAAGCGGTCGGTTTACCGCGCAGCGAGTCGGCGCCGCGCGTCACGCCCAAAAAGCAGAAGTCTGACGCGGAGAAGCCGGCGGCGCTGGTGAGACAGTCGACCTTCATCAAAGAGACGCCGAGTCCCACGCTCAAACGCAAACTGGAGGAGTCTCAGGTGTGCGCCGCGCCCGACTCCCCCTCCAGCCCCGAAACGCAACCTCCGCCGCCCAACCGCAAAACCGACCTGAGCCGCTCGCACTCCGAGAGCCCCTCGCGCCCGCAGGACGCCGCGTCGTCGCGCTTCAGCCGTACGGGCACCTGGAAACGTGAGAACGGCGGCGCCAATAATGGCGGCGCCAACGGCAAACAGCACTCCACGTCTCTGCCGCGCGTCGGCACCTGGAAACGCACCGGCAGCTCCTCCTCCGTCCTCTCCGCCTCCTCCGAGTCCAGCGAGAGAGGGGCGAGCGACCGCGCCCGCAGCGAGGAGGAAGTGACGTCGCAGCGCAAAGGCACGTGGCGTAAAAAGAAGAGCGATTCCGCCGAGCGCGGTTTCTGCGATCGCTCCGATAAGTCCGAGGACGTGTGGGTGCGTCTGGAGGACTGTCCCGTCAACAACCCGCGCTCCGCCTCCTCCTGCTCCGCCCGCTCGCCGTCCAACGCCCCGCCCGTCATCGACAGCCCCGCCCCCTCCTCCAGGATCCCCTCAGGCTCCTCCTCCTGCTCCAACCTCAACCTGCGCCGCAGCTGCG